TTAACGCCTCATAGACCCTGTGGTCCTAAGTGTCTGTGAGCATTTGAGGGAGGGGTTGTGAGCTCCAGGATACAAGGTAAAGATGAGTTATCGTTAAAAAATGAAGAGTGAGGCTGGGCACAGTGGCTCATGCCTATAATTTCTTTTTTTTTTGGAGTTGGAGTCTCACTCTGTCGCCCAGACTGAAGTACAGTGGCATGCTCACAGCCACCACAGCCACTGCTGGGCTCAGGTGATCCTTCCGCCTCAGCCTTCCAAGTAGCTGGAACTACAGGCGTGCGCTACCACACCCGGCTAATTTTTGATTTATTGTAGAGATGAGGTCTCGCCAAGTTGCCCAGGTGGGTCTCGAACCCATGGGCTCAGGCAATCCACTCACCTCAGCCTCCCAAAGCACGGGATTACAGGCTGAGCCACCAAGCCCAGCTGCCTATAATTTCAGTACTTTGGGAGGCTGAGGTGAGAGGATTACCTGAGCCCACAGGTTCGGAAGGATTGCCTGAGCCCAGCAGGTCGAGGCTGTGGTGGCTGTGGTGGCTGTGAGCGTGCCACTGCACTCTAGCCTGCGCAAAGAGTGAGACTCTAACTCAGAAAAAAAAAAAAAAAAATGAAGAGCGTATAAGGCTGAGCACAATGGCTCACACCTGTAATTCCAGCTCTTTGGGAGGCCACGGTGGGAGGATTGCTTGAACCCAGGGGTTCGAGACCAAGCTCGGCAACATAGTGAGACCTTGTCTCTACAAAAAAATAAAAATAAAATGGTTTTCTTTTTCACATAATGCAAAGAAGATTTAAAAAAAAGAAAAATATTATCCTGGCATGGTGGCCATATGCCTGTAGTCCCAGCTACTTGGGAGGCTGAGGTGGAGGATCGCTTGAGCCCAGGAGGTTGAGACTGCAGTGAGCCATAATTATGCCACTACACTCCTGTCTGGATGACAGTGAGACTCCAACCCAAAAATGAATAAACAGACTGGGGACGGTGGCTCAGCCTGTAATCTCAGCACTTTGGGAGGCCGAGGTGAGAGGATTGCCTGAGCCTGCGGGTTTGAGACCAGCCTGGGCAACTTGGTGAGACCTCGTCTGTATAATAAATCACAAAAACTAGCTGGGCTTGGTGATGTGCATCTGTAGTTCCAGCTACTTGGAAGGCTGAGGCAGAAAGATTGCCTGAGCCCAGCAGGTCGAGGCTGGGGTGGCCGTGGACGTGCCACTGTACTCCACCCTTGGCAACAAGAGTAAGACTCCAACTCAATTAATTATCTGAAGTCTCTTAATACACAAATGAGAAGAATATTTTTCCTTTGCTCCAGGCAGAGCACAGAACAGTGTCTGGGGCCATACTTCACCTCGTAGAGGTAGGAGGAGGAGACACTTGGCCTTGGCTCTAATGTAAAACTTGGGGTTCCTGAAGGGAAGGCTTTCCCCCTGTAAATGCATCACTCTTTTTTTTTCTTTTTTTGAATCAGAGTCTCACTCTGTCCCCCAGGCTGGAATGCAGTGGCACACTCATGGCCACCCCAGCGTCAACCTACTGGGCTCTGGTAATCTTTCCACTTCAGCCTTCCAAGTAGCCGGAACTACAGGCATGTGCTACCACGCCCAGCTAATTTATTTATTTATTGTAGAGACAAAGTCTCGCCAAGTTGCCCAGCCTGGTCTCAAACCTGTGGGCTCAGGCAGTCCTCACGCCTCGGCCTCTCAAAGTGCTGGGATTACAGGCTTGAGCCACTGCGCCCGGCAGTGCGTCACTCTTTACTGTCATTTAAAAATGTCAACTTTAAAAGTGACATCTGATGGTGTAGCCACCATGCAGATATTCTGGGACTCCCATTTCAAGAATTTTTACAGCGAGAATGAAAGGGCCAGCCAGCAGCAGAGGCCTGCTATAGAATACTTGGTGGCTTCTCAACTCGATTAAGGGCACGGCTGGTTTTTCGGTTAGTTTTGGTGTTCCCCAGCACCATTAAAGAGCATGAGTTTGAGACTTTTAATTTCCTTTCTGCTGCCAAGAGAGATTGTAGCAGAATCACTGTGCAGCAGTTAATTCAACATAATCCTGAAGAAAACAAGAATGGCTTTTTCCTTTTTTAGATAAGTCCGCAGACTTCATCACACAAGCTAAAATATGCCAGCAGCTCAGGCAGCATGGCATCACGCACAGCAAGCCAGATCTTATTTGTAAGATAAGTATTTGTAGCTCATGTATCCTGACTGCACTAGGAGAGGGGTTTCCAAATGATGACAGAAGGGCGTTCATTCGTGATTTGCCAAGTTCTCCACACTGGCTGGCTGCTGGAGTGAGCTTCTCGGCCCTTTTGATGAGGACAGCTTCAACACGCATGCGTGTGGTGGGGTGGGGAGGGGTGCAGTTGCTGCAGTGCTTTGTATCACCAAGTGTGTCCTCCTGAGTCACATTTGTGACAGCTTCCCCCACCAAACAAAACCCGCTACACATAATCTCAGCTCGGTGGAGGGCATGGTCTCAGGTGTAAACCCTGCTGCTTCTGGTCTGCAGAATAGTAGTATGCCTGGGTCCTCCTCCGCCTCACGCCTCCAAATTCAGATCATTTTCCCTAATCTATATCTGGTTCTGCTACTTCTCATTAGTTTGAGAAGTTGGAGGAAAGGGGCTGAAAAAGTAAGCTGCTCACTATACTGTTGAGGGGTTGATTTTCATGTTGCTTTCTAAATCCAGGCCATTGACGTGTTCTTAGATCATTAGATACATGCTCCCAAGCAAATGTCAACGAGGAGACACAAATTTCACGCGAAGCAGCATGATTTCAAAGTTTGGCTATTTTAATGCATTTTCATTGTTCAAGGTATTATTGGTATATTAAGTGTTTTATTTCCATCCTGAAGAAAACACTAACAGCTTCTATCTTATATGATTTTGTAAAATTCAAACATGACTCTTTGACCGGTTTTTTAAAAACTTTTTTTTAAAACATATCTTGGTAATATTTCTCTTCTGGACATATTTTTTAATCCTTCAAGTAGTTTGGAAACATTTGCTTATTTGCTCATTCCTCTGGGCACAGCCTTCCAGAGCATTTATCCCACCTGTGCTGAAAAACCTCCGTTCACCCAGCTGGTGGCAGGGCTGCTGGATGGAGGGGATCAGAGAGAAATGAGGAGTGAGCGAGCTTTGTAAATGGCTTCTAATTCTCTTCATTAGTATGCTACGATCTACTCCAGCTTCTGCAAGGTCAGACATGCAAGACAAGTACTCAGCCAAAACAGCAGGATTCTAACTAGTGTAAAAATAGATTTTAAATAAAATAGAATCTCTATAGGAAAGAGAATTAGGTTATGCTTTATATTCCCACTCTTGCTTTAGGATATCTGTATAGATAAACCCAAGGAGGACTTACAGAGTTGGTCAGCTCTACGTAAAAATTAAGAATGTCTGAGTACATTCATTTTGCAAAGTTACAGGTAAGGTTTTCTGGGAAATGCTGCAGCATGTCCCACAAAAATAGATGGTGATTAGTGATGCAGCTGATGTGTTAACAGGTAACACGGAGGACATTTAAGTCAAAGGGGATGAGGCCTAATCATAGGCTAAAAAACAATTCTGAAATGTGGTCATTTGAAACCTTTGGCTAATTATAAAGCAAAACCCAAACCCCACCATTTAACGGTATCAACCCATCCATCTATCTCTTCAAAAAGCTAAATTCAAGCCGGGCTTGGTGGCTCAGCCTGTAACCCCACGCCTTTGGGAGGCTGAGGTGAGTGGATTGCCTGAGCCCGCAGGTTCGAGACCTGCCTGGGCAACTTGGCGAGACCTCATCTCTACAATAAATCAAAAACTGACCTGTAGTTCCAGCTGCTTGGAAGGCTGAGGCAGAAGGATCACCAGAGCCCAGCAGGTCGAGGCTGCGGTGGCCGGGAGCAGCCACTGCACTCCATTCTGGGTGACAGAGTGAGACTCCAACTTAAAAAAAAAAAAGAAGCTAAATTCCAACTCAGGTCTTACTTTGAGTTGGTTCAATTACTGCAGATTATGAATTATTTGATGTTCATGGTTCTAGAGAAAGCACATAGCCCCTCTGTTGGCCCACAGCAAGCACTACATGGCTGTTTTAAAGGGGGCTCTGTTTGAATTCTAATTTTAGGATTGAGAAACAGCCTTTGGTTATATCTTGAAGCATAACTGAAAATCTGCCCAAGCTCCCTCTAGCTGCAACCTGAACATGCAGCCCAATCTTTTGTAAACATTTAGAAAAATCTGAACCCAGCAAAATACACAATTAGCTAGTCAGAGGCCTCACCCTGTGTTTTCATATGGATACTGAATTTCCCTGCTTACCCTTGCTAGATTCTAGGAAATCCACTCTGAGATCTGAGTCTTGGAGCAGCCATTACACCTTCTTATTTGAGGTTCATAATGATGTATGGAGTCACCAAAAATAAACAGTGGAACTGCCACCATTTTTCCTACATTAGGTCTACTCCATCTACCCTGGGTTGTTTGTTTTTCCTGGCTGGCCCCAGAGCAAGAAGAGATGACTGCTGATGACAAGCCAGTACCTGGTTTACTACTCAGCCTCTTTTCATATAACATTCAAAAACAATTCTTAACTCTCCATAGGAAGAGGGAGATGATAATGATATGAGATTAATTCTAGGGAATTTTCATAACTCCTCAGTAGCCAGTGGGACCTCTCTTTAAAGCAGCTGCTATGACCTCAAGGAAGTTTGGTGCTTTAGTGTTAGGTAAAGTTACCTTTGAGGTTACACACAAAAAAGTTACATCTTAAGCCTACCCCAAAACTGAATGTCAAATATATCGAGTCCATAAATACAACGAAAAAATGCACAGCAGAGTTGGGGCATCTACCAAGCAGGAAGGCAAAATGGTCATTAGAATGTCTGAGGTTAGTGACACTATTACCACCCTTCACAACTGCCCCTTTCCAGAAGTTCTCCCAGGCAGCGCCTCTACATTCACTATGCCACACATCAGCAAATGAAAGAGCCAAACAACTGCAGCTTGATCCTCACTTGTACGTATTAGGGCCCACCCTCACATCAACCGAAGGTCCCAGCACCCCTCACGGCACCAGGGTGTGTTTCTCTGCAGGTCACTTGCCCCTCTTGCCGCGGCCCTTCCTGGGGGGCAGCTTCCCGCCGCTCCCCGAAGAGGGCGGGCCCGAGGCTGAGGCCATGGCGATGTTGATCTGCCCCTCCTGGATCTCCTGCCGGGTCTCGGCGGGCAGGTGGTTGATCTTCTGCTGCGTCTCCAGGTAGAACATGACGTCACGCAGCTGCTCCTGGACCTCAGTGATCTGCAGGTCTTTCTGGTCGCAGGTCTCCTTCAATAGCCTCTCCTCCTCTTTCAGCTTGTTCTGCAGGAGGACTTGGTTGGCTCGCAAACACTTGTTCATTTCCTGCTCCTCTTTGAGCTCGGTGGTGAGTTTGGCCACTTTTGTGTTTAGCTGAGTGCACCTTTTGCAAAACAAAGGAAGACAAAAGCACATCTTTCATTTGCTGACACAGTTCTCTTTCTGCTCTGGGATTGAACAGAGAAGCCATGACCTCAGAATCCATTTAGGACAGACCCCTTCCTCCCATAATGAGGGAGACTGGTTTGCTGCTAATGCAGTCAGGGACGCAAAGCAGGAATTTTGCTCTAGTTAACACGGTTATAACTTCAAGACACTTCAGGCATCAGAAAGTTTTCAACAGCAGAAACTATTCTGTGACTCATGGTAAAAATTCTACTGCCTCTCTGATTTGCAGTCAGTGCTTAAATAGATGCCTTAGAGATGACAGCTGTGATAAGGAAGTTATGAGGAAAAGTGACATTCTTGGAGAGTCAAGTGCTCTGACCTTACTGCATTTGCTGGAGAAGAAAAAAGGCACTTATTCTAAGCAAAGAGTATTAAAGATTGGGAGTGCCCTATTCTTGATGCCCAATCTTACTAATAAGTAAAGAATTGCAAATTGGCTGGGCTCAGTGGCTCAGCTTGTAATTCTAGCACTTTGGGAGGCCCAGGCAAGTGGATTGCCTGACCCCGAGGGTTCGAGACCAACCCGGGCAACTTGACGAGACCTCATCTCTACATCAAAAATTAGACAGGCGTAGTAGCACGTGCCTGTAGTTCTGGCTAATTGGAACGCCGGATCCCAGCAGGTCCACGTTGGAGTAGCTGTGAGTGTGTAACTGCACTCCAGCCTGAGCAACAGAATGAGACTCCAACTCATAAAAAAAAAAAAACCAAAAAAAAACCCCCTGCATATTGAAACACTAATTGATGTAAGTAATTCCGCGCCTTTGGGAGGCTGAGGTGAGTGGATTGCCTGAGCCCGCAGGTTCGAGACCCATCTGGACAGTGAGACCTCATCTCTACAATAAATAAAAAAATCAGCTGGGCGTGGTAGCGCATGCCTATAATTCCAACTACTTGGAAGGCAGAAGTGGAGGGATCGCCGGAGCCCAGCAGGTCGAGGCTGCGGTGGCCAGGAGCGGCCACTGCACTCCAGTCTGGGCGACAGAGTGAGACTCCAACTCAAAAAAAAAAAGAAAGAAAGACTAATTGAGATACCATTTTTATGTATTAGAATGCCAAAGAGCTCAGATGTGAGAAAAAAGGCCCTCTTATACACTGGCACTGGAGTGTGAACTGGTACAAACTCTTTGGAAGTCAACTTGGCAGTATCTGTAAAAATCCAAAATGTACCTGGGCTCGGTGGCTCAGCCTGTAATCCCGCGCCTTTGGGAGGCTGAGGTGAGTGGA